ATGAAACTTGAATAATAGGCATATAGAGTCATATAGAAAAGTGGCTAGATAAACATTTATATGGCGAAATGAAAATTAAATTACATAAGCTATTATCCATATATAACCTTACCAATCCTATCTACGTTGACTCGTTGTCTGTTTTAGTAAAAGAACTTATGCCTTATTTTTTGCCGGACAATATAACTTGTTTGTAGTTGCACAACAGATAAGCTAAAGTCAATCAGTCGCATAGACAAGAAGATCGAATCTGCATCTCGTTATTAATTAGAGAGATAGAATAAGATAGATAGAGAGAGAGAGATAGAGAAAGAGAAGGAGAAAGACATCATCAACGAATGAGCACTCGATCAATAAACTAAGCAATCTTTACTTGCTTTCTTTTTTTTTTCTTCTCTCTTCGTTCGTTTCTATATTTCAACGATCAATACTCAGCATGATAGACAAGCAATCAATCCTTCTATCAAGACAATAAAAGTGTTAGTTAATACAAAAGGAAAAATCTCGAATAAAGAGATATATAGACAAAGAAGACGAAAAAAAGAATGCATCTATTCTAATTTTTAATAAAATAACATGAAATACACTTCACAGTACTCTTTCAAAAAAAAATATAGTATCTAAAAATTGTTAGAAATACAATGTTACTAGTGTGAATAGTCAATCCTCAGCATTATAATGTCTAACTGGTGTGATGGTGTGCCACAAATACTTCGTAATAGAACGAGAAAGATAAGACGAGAGAAGAATCTAGGCATGAGAAAACATTGTAAAGTAGTATATAGTTGCGTCTAATTGATGCATTTATATTTTAATGTTAAAGAAATAAATTCTGTGAAACAAATTTGATTGCGAACAATGATTTTTCATTGAGTATTCATAATAATGAGGTCATATATGTTTTTTTTTAATCGATAAAGTTCAATAGAAAGAAAAATAAACGAAGACAAAGGCTAATTAATGATGCCTTTTTTTTTTCTTTTCTTTCCCGAAATTACCTTGGCGAACTGTCGAGCATAAAAGTATATATCAATTAATTAACATAGATACACAATGCGTGTGTGTGTGTGTATAACATATAGGCGGGATGAATAGTAGAAATAAGAAAAAAAAAGAAAGAAACGGTTTTTCGTATGTTTGTGACTTTCTGACGATTCTCATCTGTCTTCATTAGATTGTGGACATGGAACACCCGTAGGCTTTATGTATCGAATAAAAGAAAAAAAAGAGAGAGAGAGAAAACTTGACATTTTACTATTCTTCCTTCCGGTATTTTATATACTAGAGACGAGACTATGATATTAAACTATTCGCCGAAGGGATAAAAACAAAAAAAAATGACAACTGTTCAGTAAAACAAAGGTCCTATTGCTTCATCAAGATGATTAACCATTGTTGTCGTGAACAGTAGCAAGAACAACAGTAGGAAAAGCTGGAATATCAATAAATCAATGGGACGTTGGATATCGATGTCAATCTAAGAAGGGGAGAAAAAGCATTTGAGCGAAGTAAATGTCAATTGCGAAATATTATCAACTGAGCATAGAACTATCATACATGCGTAGAGACACACACACACATGTGTCATTGATCGGTTGAGATCTATCTGTATTTGATGAAAAGAAGGAAAAGAAGCATAGAGAGATTGAGAGAAACTCGAATAAACAAACCAACAGTACTCGTTACATACACATCATTTCTTCTAATACTGATGCTGCTGCTGCTGCTGATAGCGGAAATGAGGCGAGCAAAAAGACATTTGTCTTTCTACTGTCTGATATCTCTAATTTCTATGCAAATGATTATCAGTAATATTGCAACGATTCTTGTTCTCAGCTATCATCTTAATATCATTTGCGTTTTCGATTCGAATTTGTATATATACATATATGTATATATATATAAATTTATTTATTTGTTTGTATGAAGACGAGCTCTTTTGTATAACTCGTTGAATTAATGACAAAGAACAGATGGAAACATCAACTGAAATCTAAGCAATCTTATATATTTGACAAGTCATGAAATGAATATGATTATGATTGTCCATGCATTTCGATTAGCATCTATTTTGCATTCTCATGAATTCGTTAGTTGTGTAGAAAATATCATAATTAGAATTCTGTTTTTTTTTCAAACGAAACTCACATTTTTTTATTAATCTTGAATAAGAAAGAAGAAAAAAAGAGATTCGAAAAACTAAAAGATTTGTTTAAAATAAAATTTATATTATTTTCATTACTGTTTATATCAGCAATAAAATGTCTGTTATTTACACTTCAAATTATCTAAATAAACAATGACTAGAATATTGATTGACTTGTTCTTTTTACAGGAAGCACGTAGGCAAGGGAAATATTTTTTTTTTTTGTCGATTGGCATCATTTAGCTTTAGTTAAGTTTGCCATATCAATGTATCTATTATTGTTAATGGTCAATCAATAAACTTCAATTTCAACTTAAGATGAACAATTTCTTTTTGTGTGTGTGTTTTTTTTGCTATGAAAAAGATAATATGATTATAGACAAAAAAAACGAAGATTTGATAATCGATGAACAAATTTTAAATATTCTTCAATTTCTTTGGTGAACTATAAACATGAATTATATGATTATTTTTGTAAATATTATTTCATTGAAGTGTATATATATATATATATAGATCATAATTATTTTTTCCGAAGATGAAAATAATATATATTTACACTCGTTTGTTTTTCTTTCAATCAAATCTATAGTCATATTTCTTTTACACGCTCTATAGTAGTAGTTAGAGTTGAAAAGAAGTTTAGTCTAATCCAGGATTATTTCATCGGATCGGTTGGATTTATCTTATATGCTAATAACAAGGAACAAGCGAAAACTGATCGAGGAATTTATGAAAAAAAGAACAAAATTTTGCTTTTAAGAAAAAATTAAACTTAGACGAATAAACTACAACAATAGAAAAAGAAACAACTAGAAGATGCCATTAGCGAATTGCAAATCAATACAAAGGAGTATAAATTTCTGTGATCCATATAGCTTAAGAACTAGAATTTCTTTTCATTAAGTTATATCGAAATTAGTTTTGATAGAAAAATAGAACTAAGAGAAAAAAAGAATTCTAAGGGTATGATGATTTCAAATATTTCAGGAAGCAATAGAAATACGAATGAAATTATTTTTTTTTTCTTTGCTAGACCTTATTTATATTTTGTGAAACACAATTTTTAATAGATATTGATTTCTTGAGTTATTTATCATTGAATTCTATTTATTTCATGTATCAGGTTTTATTAGATTATGTTTTTAAACCTAAAATAAATTACTTACGTAACATTTAAATAGATCTTACGTATATATTTTCAAAGATTGATGTATTCTATTTTCTTTTTATCGATCCATATGTAGTAGCACGTATATATCAGTTGTTAATAATGACTGTCGACATAAACATTACTTCTCATCTCAACATAGAAAATTGCAGATTCATATCGATATTGATTGTAATCATCACAAACATTCATTGAAATCTCGTCGTTTGTTACAATCAACAGCACATTTTTAGCTAATTTTGTTCGTATGATTTCTTATCGTTATTACTATCATATGAAGGATTACGTGTCGTCAATTATAAGAAGAACGAGTCATAGTTTTATTGGAAATTTTACTTACGGATAATATTTGTAAAATGAAATTGGTTTTGATACAAAATAATAATTGAACTGTGTTATTCGAGATAATATCATGAATATCCTGTATCATTTATTTATTCTTTATTAAATCCATTTCATTGTATTGTAAATCATTCATGTTGTCTTCATTATGTATATCATTGCTGTGAAATAACAAGATATTGAGTCGAAAAAGAGTTTACAATTGGATCTATTTAATATGTTCATAAATTAATATCTAATTGGGATGCTTTCTTTAATACTAATAAACAATTAATCATAGGTCACATCGAAATGTCGTTATTTAGGGATACAATGAATGGCAAAACATGTATCTATGGTATTAATTCCAGATCAAGTGAAAATAGTGAAGAAAACTAATTGAAAAAAATTATGTATAGTTTACTTTTCAGAACTCGTGAAAAGTTACAAACTTGAATATTCACTTGTTGATGCATAACTCGATGAAAGATTACTTTTAAGTTCTGATAAACAAATAACTATAGCTATTCGTGAAGAAAACCACGATTATTTATTAAATTAAAGTTGAACTAAAATTAAAACAAATATAACATAACAATATATGTATCGTCTCAGAAAAAATAGAACATGTTCACTTTTCATTTGATTCTTTACAAAGATTATTTTTCTGAATAATTTCTTTTAGTATAGACTTATGTAAACTCACATCGATACCCTCGATTTTTTTGAAAAACTTGAATATTATTAAAATAAAAGTTTGAATAGAGATTTGGTAACCTCAGCAAATGTCTATAGAATGTAGAAAAGATATTTTTGACGTCACTCTAGAATTTTTTTTACGTACCTATAAAAGATTTCAATTTGAATTCTTTTGCAGACTTTGTCAAGAATCAAAACGAAAGAAAACTATGTAATGTTCATAGATTACCCTCTGACATGAATACTAATTTTTGATTAGTCTCTAACTATTGATGATCTTATTATGTTGAATAGCATAAAATTATTTATAGTTGCTCATTAATATGTAAAGCAATGGTAAATCATGAATAGAGATACGTACAAGAAGTCTGCAGAGAATGCTTTTTACGATCAAGGGAATAAAAAACAAAAAAAAAAGCAATTAAGCCACTTTTAGTGCTAGCATGCGCTAATAATAATTTTGAACGATTAGTTAAACATTCGTACAACTCGTACTTAAGCTCTTTCATTTTCTTTCCTTTCAATCATTGATTGACTTTTGTCTTGATTGTCTATTATTTTGATGGACAATAAATAAATTATATTAGTATCTTATTTCAAATTTTCTATTTTATTAAATATATTAGTTTTCAAGTACATGAATAAAAAATATATAATTAAAAATTATGTACGACCAGTATGATTGTTGATAAATCGTAATGCAAGATATGGAAGTGTTCGAAATATAACAAACATTCCAAAAAGAACAAGAAAATTCAGTCCAATATTAAGTCCAACATCAAAAAATTCTATTGCTTCATGACTAACAAATGTACCATTGGGATTATTTTGGCATGAAGAAATGATTGATCCATCGACACATTTAGAAATTCGTCCACCTTTAAATTGTAATTGCAGACATGCATCATATGCATATTTTAAAAATGATAACCATTTTCCCCATACACCTAACCAATGTGGTAAATTTCGAACAAAAAATCCACTAACTAACATTAAACCAATGAGAAGTACAGTTACAACTGTGATTGCATGTTGTAAATTTTTGAATGCTGCACCCAAATGAAGACCAAGTGATTCAGCTACAAGAATAGCAAGAAAAATTCCAAAATTTGAATTAATATTTGCCATTCAATAAGCTATTATAAGAAATAATGTTGGTAAAATAAGTTTAAGTTGTGCTTCAGCTAATAATTTAGCAATAAAATAAGATGATAAACAATATGATCTACTTGCACGTTCTTTTTCAATAACCGTACGTTCAAATGGAAATGATAATAAATCATGCATCATTGTATGTAATGGCCAAAATGTCATAAGAAAAAAGATAAATGATGATCGATCAGGTATTGTATTTTCAGAAAAATCCATTCTTAGCCAACATAAACCACTAATAATTGCTAAACCTAATGCTTGTGCAAAATTCAGAAATGTAAATTGACTTTTACCAGTTAAAAAAAATGCATGTGAGAAAAGAATTAACATTTGTGATAAAAATCTAATAGGCCATTTACTTTCATGTTTATTTGATATTAAATTAACATTATCTGGATTAGTTAGATCAGCTTCATTTCCAGATGGTTCAGCTAATAAATATTGTGATTGTAACAGATTAGATATAGTGTTCACATGTTTAGTTATTTTATTTTGAAGATATTCTTCTTTCAGTTGTTCACGAACTTTCATATCTTGACTAACAAGATCCATGACATAATCAGCTGGATTGTATTGTGATGGTGAATGATAACCCATTGTTGCAAAGTAAGGTAGAGCATTACATGGTTTACCCTAGAAAGAAGAATAATGTGTTTTTGATAGCATCAATGTATGATGAACTTTACCATAAAAATAGTTTTTCCATCTGCTAAAAGAATAAGTTGATCGAATGATTGAAAAATTTGTGATGAAGGTTGATGAATGGATGTAATTATTGTTTTGCCTTGCATTGCTAAATCACGAAGAACATCCATCAATGATACAGCTGATGTACTATCCAATTCAGATGTTGGTTCTACATTAATATTAAAACAAATCATTTACAATTAAAAAAAAATTCAAGAGTATTAATCGTTTACCATCAAGAAAAATAACACTTGGGTTCATCAATAATTCAGTACCAATATTAACACGTTTCTTTTCACCACCAGATATGAACATTATTGGAGTATCAGCACATTTTCGAATACGTAGTTGATCAATGATTTGTTCAACTTGTGTTATTTTATCTTGTTTAGATAAATTATTTGTTGAAGAACATAAGCTAGTTTTCTTTTCGTACTTTTATCATATCGTTGATATGTTAAACCAAATATCACCAGTAACACCATTTAATGCTCGACCAGCTAATATATTAAGTAATGTTGTTTTACGACAACCTGATGGTCCCATAAGTGCGACTAATTGTCCTGGATGAATTTGTTCTGAAACTTGATCAAGTAGTTTTCATTGAATGAATCTTTCTTTAGATGATGGATCGATCATTTTTGCTGGAACATGGATAACTTTTGAAACATTATGAAAAGTAATAGTGATACGTGGAGATAATGCTGCCAATGCTCGAGCACTATCAACAGACATTTGAACTTGTATTGTATCATCTCCACGCATTTCTATAACAAATTGACTTTGTGAATCGTCGTTAGATTTCTTAGTTTCATCAGGATACACATTGGTGTATGCCTGATTGATACGTTCATTAGTTTCTTGAAGAGGAGGCATCTTGTTATAAATTGAGAAATATGGATATTCGTTTTATGGACAGTATGGAATAAGAGCACTGTATTTATACTATATCGATAGCATAACGTACTTTATCGTTATAGAATAGACAAGGTCGTATGCTTACTTGAGTCACGTATTCAAATGACGTACTCTTCTATCAGTATTGATCGTTTTCTTTTTCTACTAGCAAAGTATAGAAGCTAGTGTAATGAGTCGTAATGCATCGATCGTACTTTACGTTCTATAGAGGCACTTCAAGTATGTACTTTAGGCCATAACATTCGATTTGTCTATTGTGCACTGAAAGTTTCCACTTTTTTTGGTTGTTTTATTTGATTAAACAATTTTTATTCTAATAAAATGATTTTTTTGTATTTTGCAGATCAGATGTATAGTTTGATGTAAGAAAATCTGATTAATTTTGAAGTGTTGACTTGTAACACTAAGTTACAATGAGCATTCATTAATCGATAACGAGAGACAAAGCACTATGCAAATAGTTCATATCTGTTCAATGTAATGTCAAAACAGCATGTAAGAAAGAGAGAAGAGTTCGTTCTAGAGTTTTCCGAGACTTTCTGAATAGGTCTAAGTTGCGACTACTCCAGAAGAAAACTATCGAGACATTATCTCATTTTTGATGACTTTAGATTAGCAAAAAGGTGAATTTTTCTTATGTTGTCAACCAGTCAGGATAGAAAGTTGAGTGCTGTGGAACTGAATATGATTAAAGTTCACTTTTTGCATTCTATTATTTCATATTCATTAAAATTCAGCTCTTTTCAAACAAAAAAAGCTTCATGAATACACTATATTCGACACGTCTGAATGATTTTCAGACACTGTGATGAAAGGATGTGGATGTGGGTATAGATAACGATACGAAGAGCAGATTCACATCCACACCCTGGATTGAAAAACTTTAAAAACTGTGTTGTGATGAACTCCATAAACTAGCAATTAATAAAAAGTTATTTTTTCGAAATGAAATGTTTCCATATCAATAGAGAAGATACACACACGATGGAAACGAATTGTGTAGTATATGACGACGATCATTGCTACTTCTGATATCAATATCATTCGAAACTTTTAGGGAAAATAGAAAAATTGATGATTTTTATAAAAATATGAATATTTATAAGTTTACGAAGAAAACTTTTCTAAAAGTTTATTTGTAAGCAAACAGTTAAAATAAACTTTGTTTTGCCAAATAATTGTCACGATGTGTGAGTGTGAGTGAAGAAAAGAGATGCACACCACTTTTTATCGGCATATCATTGTCATAGTTTTTTTTATCAAACTGACATCCACGAAATTGACTTGAACAGAAGCTCTGCTATATTGAATCTTGTAGAGAGGGAGTTGCTCTATTAAATGCGTTATGTCACTAGAAATCTATAGATAGAATTTAATTTTGAGTGACTAATACATAATTGAAATTATGAAAAACTAAATTTTCATCTCATACATTAGGTCAAAATTTTCCTTAAGATACATAAAGTGACTAAAAGTGGTTTCGCTCATTTTCTTTCAACTTTTGTCATAGACCTTCAATCAAAATATACCAAAGTGGTTATCTCAACTAGCTCTATTCACCCTAAAAGTGCCAGCTCGATCGGAGAACTTTGTGTAAATGTGTCCGAAATCCCATGGAATTACCCAGCTTTCGAACCAGAGAGTCATTGCAGATGTCAATAAAAAAATGAACTACAATTCATTTGAGTTGTCGAAATAGTCGAATAATTTTACGATCATCTTGACCTTTTCTGCATAAAATACTTAAAACTATTGAATCTTTTTTACTTTCGAAATATAGCTCTTTAATCTATTCAGCAGTGTTGTCATTGTTTGAATAAATATTCTCAAAACTGTGCAAGTAATAAAATATCCCGAATGAATACCATTTAACATTTTTTTCAGCATTTGTTATTGATAAATTCTATCATCTTAAATATCAGAAGATCATTAACGAATTGATACTTCTTATTCATTTGATGGAGCTAAAAGATTCAAATATCTTTTGATATAAGTGATGGAACTATGGTTTAGACAAAGAGATCTCATTCTGTGTTTGTTCGTTTATGATTCCTAATCTTTATCAATAATTTTTTTTTTCTTTCGACTAAGACCGTACACATAAGTAAAAAAAAAAAATTTCTGAAAAATTGAACAATATTTTTATACAATTGCTAAGAATAAAATGGCATCGAACAATAAATATTTCGGCATTTCGTTCTTTTGAATGAGAAGATATATTTTTTCAACTATTTTAACCCTTTCGTTACATAATTTTTTTTTCTGAATTGAAATCGAGTAAAATATTAAATTAGCTTTTTTTAGAGATAGGGACCAGTAACGAATTGAGAAGCGGATGAAGAAGTGATCGGCCCCGTCTTTGCCAAAACCCTCAATTCACCACTAATGGGAACATATGTAAAAAGTAACTCATGTGTTCTCGCATGTGATTTACTGAATGTTAGTTATATCGAACCTTGTTATACTTAAATGGAAATTTTAACTGCTGAAGTTTATTAGTTGCAAAACTTATAGAATGTTTTCATGGAATAACAAAAAGCAATTTTTATGTTGTTTTACACAAAAAGAAATACCACAAAAAACTGCATTTTATGTTACTAAATATTGAACGAGCTTTCGTTCTGCAATATCCGCATCTTCCTTTAGGTCCAGCAACAGGCATATGTGCTTGTAATGGAGTTGATAAATATTTGTTCCCAGGCGTCGGTTGAATTCGTCTACACTTTTGGGCAGCAAAGTGAATAGGTCTACCTCTTCTTTTCCGTGAACTTTGATCACCAATCAGTGACATTGAAATAGAAGAGAGGAATTCAACATAAGCCATGTGTTGTTGATTCAGATCGTTGTAACAGATGAACGCATTCGAAAGACTTGTTCGAAGAAAGTAAATGAATATACGAAACCAATTTCGCTTATATACTTTCTTTGAGAGATATAACATCCAGGGAAAGAGAAGAAGAAAAAGGACAGATATGAAGACGATACTTGTAACACAGATACTCCGGAAAGGTTCTAGAATACTCTTTATTATTTCCTTCCAAGAGATTTCATACTAATTTTTATGAATTATGCTATGAAAAATAATTAAAAACAGGTGTAGCTTTTTTTATACTATGGTAACGAAAGGGTTAAATAAAAACAAGAAAAAATTTAAAAATGAAATTGTTTTTTTTAGAATCGTATCGAGTATTTGGTCCATATGAATTAGACAAATAACATCATCAGTTACTGAAGGAGATCCAATAGGATCATTTATTCTCGATAATATTCGACCATTAGAAACAACAAAACCATATTCATGGTATTATGATCAAACACATGATCATCCATGTCAAATTGAAAGAAGATCTGTTGAAGATGTTCCTCCACATTCAGCTATTGTTGCTTTTGCTAATTGTTCAACTGGTTCAAATAGAGGTTATGATGAATTAATTTCACATTATATCGATCTTGTTCATGAAACGAGATTTTATCCCAAATGAAATTATCAAACTAATGAAAAAACAGCAATAATTTCAATTAAAAAAGCTTTAAATAAATTACATGTTTATCTTGCTCAACAAGGTTTTACTCAGGTTTGATTTTATTTTAATATTTATAAATAATTAAATCTATATATAATATTTAGATAATGGTTTGATCAATTATCTACATCAGTATTATTATTAACTCATTATAATCCATTAACTCATAAATCAATCTTATTAATTGCTCATACATCATTTTTTCAAGTTGGAGAAAAATGAGAACGTATAAATCCATTATCAATTGAAGGTCTTATTGATAAAATATTAATTGAAGCATCATTTAACCATCCATTAAATGAAGAATCAATTAAAAATTTTTTAAAATCCATACAATATATAAATGGACTTCAACGCACAAAAGTTTATTTAAATGAAAATATTTCAATTGAAAACAGTTCATTAATTCGTTTAACATCATTAAATTCAATTGATTATAATGCTTTTCGAACAATTGAATTTACGGAAAATTTTCGTCCTGGTTCAATTGTTATTTTAACTATTTCACCTATTTTAAATATTGAAAAATCAATAATTTATATAAAAAATATTTTAAAAGCATTTGAAAATTCTACAAGTAAATTTAATTTAATAATAAAAGATTTAACATTATAGTTGATATTGAACGTGTTCTTTATCGTTCATCAGTTGAAGAACAATCAGATGGAAAAGGTTTTGATGTTTATTCAATATCAAATTATGGAAAACTTACTTATTGTAGTCTTCAAGGACAAATATCTATTTTAGATAAAATTCGTTTTAATAATGATCTTAAACATTCTTTTATAATTCATTTAAAACAAGGAAATTGGCTAATGGATTATATATCAATAAGACTTAAAATTCATTCAAATACAAAACAATTAGGAGAATGGTATGATATTTTTAATCATATTAAAAATTTATCTCGTTTAATCATTTCATCATATTTTGATTTAATTTTAAATAAATCATATAAATTAATAAAAGAACATAGTTTAACATTAATGAATCAATTTATTCGTTCATCATCAATATTTGCTCAAGATTTAAGCCAATCATTAATTCAATTAATAAGTATTGTAAGAAATGCTCGTTTACCATTATTATTACCAAATTTACGTGAACCAAAACCAATTGAACAAATTGATGAACAAACATTTGAAAAAATACAATTAACTCCGCCTTTAGCTGCTGGATTACCACATTTTGCTGCTGGAATTTAGAGAAATTGGGGAAGAGATACATTTATTTCATTACGTGCTCTTCCTTTATTAACTAATCGATATGAAGAAGCTCGTTATTTAATCTTATCATATGGTAGATGTCTTCGTCATGGATTAATTCCTAATTTATTAGCTGATGGAAAAACAACACGATATAATGTAAGAGATGCTGTTTGGTGATGGTTATATTCAATATCATCTTATACATGCTTAGTTTCAGATGGTTATTAAATTTTATCAGATAAAGTTTCACATTTATATCCAACACATGATAGTCCTGCACAAACAGCTGGATTACATGATCAATTATTATATGATGTTATTCATGAAGTTTTTCTTCGTCATATTCAATCTTTAAATTTTAGAGAACATGGAACTGGACATTCATTAGATTCAGTTATGAGTGATGAAGGTTTGAATAATAAAATTGGAATTGATACTAAAACTGGTTTCGTTTATGGAGGAAATAGATGGAATTTTGGAACATGGATGGATAAAATGGGTTCAAGTGATAAAGCAAATAATAAAGGACATCCAACTACACCAAGAGATGGATCTGTTGTTAAATTAGTTGGATTATCTAGAACTGTTATTGCTTGTATTATTCAAATGAATCAAGAAGCACATTATCCATATGATTCTGTTGAAACATCTACTGGTAATTATTTATTTTATTTTGAAAATATTTAATTTTCTTTTTTTTTGTTTAAAGGAATTGGTGGAAAAATGACATTACTTTTTCCAGAATGGTTAAATCAAATTGATGAAAATTTTGAAAAAGAATTTTGGATTGATGAAACAAATTCATCAGAATATGTTAATAGAAGACAAATTTATAAAGATACAATTCATTCATCTCTCAGATGGACTGATTTTCAATTAAGACCTAATTTTATTATTGCAGCGGTTATTGTAAGTACAAAATTTTATTTCATTTAAAAAAAAATTCTTTTTGTTAAAAGGGCTCCGGAAATGTTTGATAAAACTCATATATAGTTAGCATTAAAATAAATTGAAACAATTCTTTTTAGGAAAATATGGAATTAAAACTCTTGATTCCAGGTAAAATATTTTTTTATTTTCTTATTATATAAATAAAATAATCTGTTAAAAGTGATTATAATTGTGTTGGTGGTTATGTTAATAATGATGATTCATATGATTATAAACGAGCACATAGGTTTAATTATCATAATGGTCCTGAATGGTTATGGTTAACTGGTTATTATATACGAGCAAAGCTTTATTGGTCAAAACAACAAAATGATCAAAATATTTTGAAACAAACAATTAAACATTGCAAAAAATTATTAACACAATTAATGGATTTATTTTATTCAAATGATTGGAAAGGTTTACCTGAATTAACAAATGCTGATGGAAATATATGTCCAGATTCATGTACTGCACAAGCATGGTCTGCAGCAACTCTTTCAGAAGCCTTCTATGACCTTCATTATTTACAAATTTAGCATTCAAAATCTCGATTAACCCTTTCACTTTAGTCATTATATTGTTTTCAATCCTTTATTTTTATTTTTTTTCAGTGAATAAACACATGCTCTAGTCTAGAAATTTTAATATTTATGTTTCACAAATAAAACTTTCACAATATTAATCTCCTTCATTTTCTTCATTTTCAATCAGTTTTCGCTTGATCGATTTTTCATTAGCTGCAGCAATCGTAGTGGTGGTGGTGGTGGTATTCGAGCAATTCTTCAAATCACCACTGTTGAGCCAATACGATGAATTTGAAGGTAGATTAGCAACGTTTGACACTATTTCATATGGCATGTTCGGCAATGTAATCGAATAAAAAGTGGCTAGGTTACAAAAAAAAAAGGAAACATGAAGAAGGAAATTGTTTAACTTACCAAGTGCTAATGCGTCCGATTTACTAAATATATTCTCATTAAGATCTGGAATTGGAAGCACGTCTTCCTCATAGCAAAGGCCACAATTGTGTACAGCTTCAGATAATGTTTGATATAAATTAATAAATGCTTTCTACAAAAAGAAAAAAAAATTATCGATCACATTTCCATGAAAAAGATTGAATGAGAAAAAATGTGCTTCAAACTACTTTTTTTTTCTTCACTCACTTCTATTTGTTCATATTTATCAGAAAACGAGCCGTACTTCGGATGTTTGAGAGTTGTCACAATGTCCGTAGGTTTCAATTTTTCCCACATACGTTTTAATATATCTTTTGTTGGGACGAAATTCTTCTTGTTCGATCCCTGTGAATGCCATTTGACAAGAAGTTCAGCATCTTTTTGTTGTTCCACGGTCATTGTATTCCAAAATGTTCTCTTCTTCGCTTCTTTAATAAGATCAATGGTACTCCAGTTATGATTCTAGAAGAAGAAAGATTTTTAATCGCAATAAAATGGTGATTTATTACTCACTGAGTAATCTTTTTCACGACGAAACTTATCCATCAGTTTTTCAATAGCTAAATTCATAGAATGTAAATGTTCACGAGCAATCATTTCTATGATGGTGCGAGCAATGGTGTGAGAAGATGCTTTGAGAGATAAGTTCAAACACTTAATAATCGTATGTGCAGAATCCTTGGTTGTATTCAATTCCTGTACAAGATTGAAGCGTTCTTGCATTGTTTTAATAAGTTCATTGTCTTTCGCGAGTAAATCATCGCGAAGAGATTGTATTTTCGTGTCGAAAGAAAGACATAGATTTAGCGCTTCATCTTCGAGGTGTTTGACAATGGAAGTTGTATCACCAACTGATGAATTTGAATTGAGAAGATGATGAATATGTTGTCGAAAGTTTGAAAATGCTTGCATTTCTTCTTCTAAGCTAAACAATTAATGAGAGCAAAGCCACAAACATACTTTATTGTGTCCGTCTGGTGATATAATAAAACATGAAACAAGCAATAGTTAGACGAAGTGAGAGATGTGGCTGCTAATTAGTGAGCAGTCTGATTCTTGCTAGATGGTGAGCAGGAACGATCGATCACTTGTGAAAGTTGAATATCAGATAACTATATTCTCTCAATTGAAATGATTAGGGAACGAACGATCACTACTCACTATTCTCATGTTCAAATCAGTGATTGAGTTGTTCGATGACCGTTTTGTGCTTAATTTCGATTAGCAAAAATCATTAGATTCATTCGACATAATGTTTGTGAAACGGAAAGAAGTGATTCTGTTTTATTTGTTAAATGTAATTGATATTTAATTTCATAATAAGACGAAAATATCATATAAATATTTGATAGACATGGAAATGCTCATAGTTGATTTTGATTTGTATCAATTAAATTAACAATATAATATTGTGGTTCAGTTGAATGACGATACATTGGTAGAACAATACGTATTTTATTGAAGTCTACTGCATGAAAAGTATCGAGATTATCGATTAAACCAACGCAATAATATTCTTTGTTACTGACCAGTCGACAGAAAACCGATTGATTGATGGTAAATCCTTTCTAAAAGAATAACTAGGAGATGAGAACGTGTTCTATCAAGATTGAAATTGACAAGCGATCGAGCGAAACCGAGAATAGCGAAGAAAAGATAATAGTAAATCAGTTAGAGCAGACAATATTTATCTGATGTAAAAGGATCATTTTTCATGATCATTTGAAGATTTTAAGTGTTTTCATCAGTACGAAAAATAGAAAAAAAAGTAGGAATCGACATATGACAGAAAATTTTTTCAAATTTATTCGCAAGAAAATATAATCTTTGTATCTCGAGAAGATAATTGGCTGATATCAGGCTGGTACAATTTCGATTCGATTCATATCTACAACTAATTGTTTGTGAATACTATACTGTAGAAAATAATAAGTCTTCCGATTTGTTACAAAAATTAGGGATAAATTTAAAAAATCTCCTTACTTGTATTGATATATTAATTCTTTGTTTATCTGTTGGGAAAATTATTCTTTTCAGATGTTATTCTTGCTTTTGAATAAGTAATCTCTGTTGATTCAATAAAAATAAAATATTCTTGTGTTAATCAATCTATTTTTCGGCGAGAATAACTTTTCATTCTCTTTTATTTTGTTAATAAATAATAAAATAATACCGTACCTAATTAAACTAAAAACAAAGCTATCTACAGTTTCAAACAAATTATTTAATGTAAAAAATTTTCTTTTATAAATTTTTCTAAAGATTTTAAACATTGATCCATATCAATGATATAATCAGCATTGAAAGAATTTTGTAATGTTATATATATAAATTTACAATTTGAATTTATATCAAAAGAAATTTTCTCATTCGAAGGAACAAACACTTTGTTGATCATAAGGAGAATATTCAGGACAATAAACAATTGTTCAATGTACTTTTACGAAAATTTGATGGTGATGACACTTGTTCTATATTTTATTGAAAGAAATATATTTTTAATTTAAGTATCAATTGAAATAACATACTGAATCAATTGAGTCTTTAGATTTATGATGATTAAGAGTATTCGTTCGCTTGCGACTAGAAGAAATAAATTTAGTTTGTGGATAGAATTAAAGAAAATTCGAATAAAATCTTGAATGTTTTCGTGATTTGAACAAACATCGATCGTTATCATTGGATTTAAAACTGATATCTTCAAAAATCGACGAATAAATAAGATTTGAAAGAAAGAAAAGATAATTTCCTATTAATATCAGAATCTGATCGATATCGACCAGAACTTAATCTTCAATGAGTTCGTTTTTTCTAAAATTCTCTTTTAATTTTTACTTTTTTAATTTAATAAGAAAAATACTTTTTTTAAACTCAATTTATCGGAATTTCAGATTTCTTTTCTGATCATAAGCACTTGGATTAAAGCGAATATGATTGGATACATCAAATAATCAACTAATGAAAACCATGTTCCCAGTAGATGATGGACATCGTTTCGTTCTACTTGATGAACGATATCGATGACGTCAATTACTCGATATTGGACGTGATAATGAAAATGGAATTATATCATGAACGACTGAAAATGTATGTCAAATAAATAAATCGTCAGAGAATTGAATAGATTTTATTAGATCGATTATTTTAGAGACTTTCTTCTTTTATAAGCACTAAACTTCAACTTAATTCTGTGTTATATTAATCAAAATAAACATTGTTAAACCCGTTGAAGGTTCAATCTCGCTAATCGAATTTCATATATTAATCTCCAAGAGATTAAAATGAATGTTTTATTTAAAAAATATCTCTTCGAAAAGTTCATTTCGTCAGTGGAGCATCTACTGTTTCATGAAGAACAAAATATTTTATTTTTAATTTCTTCTGTTCAACTAAATCAATTTTATTTGTTAAATTTTTGACTTTGAATTTCAATTGTCGTTTCGGATGTTTTTAATAAATCAATCTAAAAAATGAAATTTTTTATTTGATTTCAATGAAAATTAACAAACTTGATTGATAAGTATATTAAAATGCTCATTGTTTCTTTGTTTAAATTAGATCGTTCTTTTATCCAAGTCTATTTGCTTTCACGAACTAGGGTGTGGGTGTGGGTGTGGGTGTGGGGTGGGTGTGGGTGTGGGTGTGGGTGTGGGTGTGGA